GCAAACTGCTGGAAATTTCTGCCAAAAAAAAATTCTGTGGAGCGACATCTACAATAGCGAGGTTCGAAATAGCATGTAAATCCCGCCCTATTTTGTTTCTATTCTAAGGGGGGATATTTTGTGACTAGGATCACGGAGCACAAACAAAGTTGCAGATTGGGACAAACAGAAAAATAAGCAGTAGCGGAGCACGCACTGCTAGACGGCCACCAAATACGCTTCGACGAAGTGGACATTCTGCACCAATCTGAAAGATACTACCCGAGACTCACCAGAGAGGCCATCGAAATATTTAAACACCAAAACAACTTTAACAGAAAAGAAGAAATTACGGCACTCAATCCAGATTGGAAGCGCGTTTTGCGCCAAACAGCATGTGCGCCGAAGCGTTTGAACCCCCACCCATCCCCCACGCATGAGCACACACGGCTGGACTGCATAAATACGACGGGGAATCCAGCAGTTGAACCAGTCTTAGTAGGAAAGCACGGGAGATCACTTCGCCCACTGCCTCATCGCCTTTGATAATGTCCATCGCAGTTGTGGACGAAACATCAGGAAGAAGTTCCCATAGACCACGGCTTCAAAGCCCGGAAAACATTTAGCCCCTAAATGTGATTTAACCGGGCGTGAAAGCCTTTGTAGTACAACTATGTAGTATAAGTTAACATATTATTTCAACATACAAAAACTTAAGTGAATTAAATTTAATAAAATGAAAAATATCTAAGCTACTTTACATTTATTTCCGAAAGCTTACATCATACACAAAGACAGGTACCTTGGATGGCTTACATGCGGGTCATGCACACAAAATATCCCCCCAATAGGGGGTATGTTCTGTGGTCATGCATATTGGCAAACCCGGTTGTCGAATCAGTAGAGATCAAAGACATTAATAAATAGACCAAGCTAATCATTCATAAATCCCGATTTGTTTGGGACCAACATTAAATTCTATCGATCGGCGATTTATCAATGAAAAACAGGTGGTAGGGATAAAGTAGGTACCGAGCAAAGAGTAGAATTAATCGGAAAATCAACTGGCCTGGCTGCTAGTCATAGGCGTAGTAAACATCAGTATTAATCTATTTATTCTAAACATGAAAGATTCACTCATTTTCTGACCTTTTTCTCTACATTACATGATTGAAATTATAAACGCTATAATAGTAAAGCAAATTTTTTAAGCATTTGATAGCTATTCAATAGGGATCTAAATCTATCTCTAAGCTTATAAATTCAAAACAACTCAACTTAAACCATTAAAAAAATATTCATTAAATAAATCTCTTAAAAAGTTTGGCTTATTGTATATTCGACAGTATACTGAATATCCTTACATACATCGATACAATTATATGGATAGTTTTCAAATTAGTAAATACATTGCAAAGATGTATTTATCGGTAAAACTTATGATAAATACCTCCCTGTTTGTAATAACAAGTAAGAGTGCAAGTTGCAATTGTGAAGAAAAGTAAAATACAAATATTTTATATAAGGCGACAACTATTTTATTGCAATTGATTTGCAATATGAATTAATTGACCTGACGGACCATTTCCTTAGCTCTTCGAATCCAGAACCTACTTGTCTTTATCTATGCCAGAAACTGAATGAATTCAAGTCCTAGGCAGAGCAGAGAAGACCGGGCTCTGACTCCACCTGTATTGATAGTCAGAGATGGACTAGTTGAAATATCATCAATGAGCAGAGCTGATAATTACGGATAGTACAAATTAAGGATATGAGAACTACTAACGGGTTATTCAACGGGTTATTCAATTTGAGGTTGGGAAAGTAAAACTTTGCTGTTTGATATCTGTCAAAGGTAAACGTCATCCGAAACATTTTTCTTTTAGTTGAAGGTTTGCCATTTTGGAATATGGATCGTTTAACTGTCGAAGAACGCGTAAAAAATATTAAATGTTACCATAAAAATGGTGATTCTGCTGTATCAACGTTTAGGGCTTTTCGAACAGATTACGTTCGACATAATCGACCCACAGAGCAAACAATTTCGAACACAGTGGAAAAATTTGAAGAAACTGGATCGGTAACTGATATTGTAAGGCCTGTGCATCATCGCAACATTCGTTCAGTTAAAAATATCGCTGGTGTTGCTCAAAGTGTGGAAGAAGACCCGAATTCGTCGATTCCCCGACGTGCTCAACATTGGGGCTTGTCTTACGGCTCATTGTGGCGAATTTTGCAATTGGATTTGAAGCTCCATCCGTACAAAGTCCAATTGACTCAAGAACTTAATCCTCAAGACCATAGGCAACGCAGAACATACCCAAATTAAGTGACTCAACAACAAGCCGTTGATGATGATTTTTCGAGCCGAATTTTCTTCAGCGATGAGGTTCATTTTTCGCTGGGTGGTTACGTGAATAAACAGAACAGCCGTATATGGGGCTCTCAAAATCCTCAGGTGATCGCAGAAAGGCCTTTGCATCTTTAAAAAGTGACCGTATAGTGTGCATTATGGTCCGGTGGTGTTATTGGGTCGTTTTTTATTGAGAATGATCAAGGAAGAGCCATAACAGTCAATTCTGAGCGCTATGGACGCATGTTAACCGATTATTTTGGAGAGAAATTGAAGACTATGATCTGGAAGACATGTGGTTCCAGCAGGATGGGGCAACGAGTCACACAACACTGGCAGTTAGAGCCATATTGCAAGAGAAATTGCAATCCAGGACGAGTAATTTCGAGATTGAGAGATGTCAATTGGCCCGCAAGATCCTGCGACTTACCTCCGTTAGATTTCTTTTTGTGGGGCTATGCGCACAAGATCGTGTTTACGCCAACAATCATGAAACTCTTGAGCAACTGAAAGCCAATATCCGTGAAGTTATGTTCGAGATATTACCGGTAATTTGCCGAAAAGTCATTCAAATGTATCTCAAAAGGATTGAGGCCTGTTGGAGGTCCCGTGGAGGACACTTAAATGGTATTGTTTTCACGTATAATGGCAAGGTTTAATCTTTATATTGAATTAAAATTTTCGTCTCCATCTGAATATTTTGCGTGTTTTTTTTTCCTTTACTTTCCGATGCATAAAATTGATAACCCTGTATAATTTTTTTAACCGACCGATTTTTTTGTAAAAAAAAAATTTAGTTCATTTGCGTTCGATATACGTTAATCAGTATCGTGTTAAAACTAAATTTTCTTTTTTACTAAGTCCACTTCTGTATCAAAATCCGAACGTAATCGACCAAAGTTTTGTGAATGGAAATGCAACAGCTAGTCGCTCAATACTGGTAACCGAAATGTTCTCATTTCGTCTTTCCGCCCTCTCAATTTAGGATATTCTCGACCCGAATCCAGACTTTTCAATTGAATGCTTAAGTTAAAATACCTAGCTGAAATGAAAATAACTGCAAACAATATTTTGAAGTAATGTATCACTTATCATTTAGAGTAGATATGATATAATGGAAGATATAAAAATAATAAGAATAGGAAATACATAATATTTAATAACAAATAATATATAAGAGATAAATATAATATATTTAAACAGCATTATTAATTTTAGTTCGCACATGAACTCTGTACAGTTTAACATAATGATCAACTTACATATCATAGATGTATGATCTATCTATACAGGAGACAGGAGACCTTCGTATATGGATAGGTATATTACATATTATGTCAACGTGTAAATAACTGACGAGCGACTTATTCTTTGAATGGGTATACTTATATTATCAACGTGAACTCATACATTTTCTCGAAAGTGGAGGTGTTTGTGAGGAGCGCTCAATTATTAACGCATTTGTTAGTTGCATGAACATAAAAATTTGATGGTAAGGTTTCCGAAAATAAACACCAGAAAAATTTCTACATGCAAACATTGACATTGAAAACGGATGGTAGGTGGAAGTGGAGAGAAGCTGCCTAATGCAGGAATTTTAAATGATATTTAAAGACAAGAACTTTACTGTGGATGACAAGAGCCCAACAATTAGTTGTAGGAAATCGTCATTTTCAGGAGCTACATCTTATAGAGGAAAAGACGCGGAACCCCAAGAGCAGACTCCGCAGCGCAAAACCGGGGGTATGGCTCTGCCCCATTCCGTCTTTCTGCGAATTAGTCTTGCGCCAAACACAACCAGAGCAGCCTCTAAAAACACATTCCTGTGTATTTATCAGTATCAGAGCTTATACGCTGTCTGACTCTTTTAGAGAATGATGCAACTGGTCTTGACCTGCTGTTTTTGACGTCTTACTGATTGAGTAAGTTCAGGGTAATAACATTCTCAAAGTTTCAAGTTAAAGTTGAACAAATAAATTCAAATTGTATTCTGGTGATTTGCTTTCATTTACGATGAAATTTTAATTGGATTTTTCCATAATTTCCGATAATTGTTATTTGCACTGCCCTGCACTATTACCAATAAGAGCCGTCGTCAAAATGGTAAGTCAGAAATTTTATCACATAATTTTTTGATGTTTTTAAATACATTTGCATTCAACATATACCGTCATACCGCACATAATAACATAACTACATACGTACATCGGTTTCAAGATACTTATATGTATATGTTTCGTCTAATTTAATAAATAATAATCCTAATGTGCCTCACTTCTTGCCATAAATCTAGGAAAATTGTTCAGTGTGGATTTTAGTTCGTTTGACTATGCTGTCAGTGGGATTGAAAGTATGTAATGTACAGTATGTATACACTATAATTACAATAGTTTCACATTAAAGAAGAAAAACAAATAAAACAACGGTTACACCTTTCGAATACTTCGAATTATTGTATTACCCTGTAGATATGTATAATGTGTATTACTGGAAAAAAAAGGAAAAAATATGTGATCTCAAAACAGTAGATTCAGCTATTTATTCGAATTTAAAGCGTAAGTACCTACTTTTAAACTTACACGCATTTACGAGTATTAGGTGGGTGCGCAAAATGCCCGTCATTGGTCTCGCGATGTCTCGTAAATAATAAAATTATTTTTCATGTCGTTTACTATTTGCTCAGACTTCATTAACGTTGGTGATAAATTAACAAAGTGATTAATATCGTTGTAGTTAGGTATCATATAAAATAATAAACCTCAGGTTGAAACATGGATATGCAGGTTATACAGGGTTAATACAAATTAATGGTAGCATTGTAGCAATTATTGTGCGGTATAAATTGCGATGAGTCTAGATCGGCAAATTTGTGCCTACAACAAGTTGCAGGCAACAAAAGCAAGCATATAATTAAATCTAATTTTTGAATATAAAGAGTTTGGAAAGTCAAGTGTTTTTAATTGAAATGTTAATTATTAATATTGGAAAGTCTCAGAAAGTATGCCTGGCAGCTTGCTTATCGCGAAGTGTGACACTGACAAAGCACAATATTGTTTTCGCAATTTATCAGAATAAATCCACGAATAATCAAACAGCTTCCAATATCGTTTGCGCTTGTTAAAAATTATTCCTGTATAAAAGATAGAAAAGCCGGGTAAATCGGCCGTCTGTTTGATTGCATATTTGGTTATGACTTATACAGGGTGTTACAAAGTAGAGGCGTAGAGCATCGTAATATATCTCGTAAGTCTTACGGCTTAGTCGTTTAAGTTAGGCCAAGTTGCATATTTTGAAGTGTAACAGAACGCTTTTTTTATTTGAAAATTTTTGACCAGACAGAACGTATAGAACCTCATAGAACGTAAACAAAGAAAAATAAAAAAATTGTCGAGTATTTTCTTCACTTCTTTCTGTTCGCCTATAGCTGAGTCATCTACTATGACGTCGTATTCTAAAACTTTTCTGAAATATAAAAAATTGAGAATTGTAATTAATGTATGATATTGCAATAATAACGACTAATATTTGAAAAAAAATGTACAGTCACATTACCGGCATCCATAGAATTCATAAACCTGTGACAAACGTGTACAAGTCCATTTGTAAAAAAAATATTTTTTTTGGTGGGTCTAAAACGAAACATTGAATTCCAGATCTGATAGTATATTCTTATTATAATTATTAATTCAAAGTCGTCCTAATAATGTGACTATTATTTTTAAATATTCTCCTCCACATAAGCTCGGAACAAAATTAAACGCGTTTGAGTAAATTTCGGTTTTCTCTGGAAGTAATACAAAATTTCTCATATTTTAAAACACCATTCAGGTTCAGCATGAAAATGTGCAACTTTGCCCTAATTTATCCGACTGAGAATTATTTCAGTAAATTTCAGTTGTCTTCGAAAATTTTGGGAAGTAGTAAAAAATGTTATAAAAAACAAAAACGTTTTGTTAAACTTCAAAATGTGCAACTTTGTCCTAATCTAAACGACTTTGTGATCCGATCTCTTACGGTTAAACTTCGAACTTAGTTAATCCCGAAATTAACCGGCTAACCTCGAGAATAACACAAGTGTAGTGTAATCTGACTGGACTATTACGCATATCGTCATTTCAGGTTACAAATAAATTTTCCAAGGAAAAGTACATTTTAAAGTAATTCAAAGCCGGGTTATTAAATTGATTTTCAGTCGGGATTGTCGTTGATTTTGGTTTTTGGTTTCGACTTCGTTCTTACTTAGGTACTTACTTGACAAAAGTTTGTAGTTTTGCGTTTTTGTCTAAATGAATATTAGTTACCACATTACCACATTAATTGTTAATAAGTATAATGGAAACATTGCTGAAAGTAATATTCGCAATATTTTTAATGAAATGATTACTACATCCCTTAAAAAATGACTAAGATGTCCTTGGTCAATAAGACGGTTTAGAACAAGCTTCTAAAAACGTATCTTCAAAATCCTGAATAACTTTTTTTTTATTATGTAACTTAATATGACCATATTTATTACTTCTTCATGAGGCTGCAAAAGTTCACTACGGTTTAATGCGTTAATTAAATCAAAGTGATCTACAACAAACTGATGTTAAAGATTCTTTACGGGCAAAAAACTGACCTACATTGTCTGACGTCATCAATATTTTAGAATTTCTCACTGAGCCTTGTCCTTAAGACGCGATTAGGAGAAACATATGCTGATAAAAAGGCTACCTATATAGGGCCGGATTAACCTGTGGTAGGGCCTGGGGCTACGATCCATGCAGAGGCCCTTTTCTAAAAAAAAGGTCCAATATCACAATCCGATTTTTTTACTCGATTTTATATTAGATCTTACCGAGGCTCGGGGCTATAGCCCCCGTAGCCTCTCCCTAGATCCAGCGCTGGCTACCTAAGGTGGTTTCCAATTTTTTTCCAAACCATTTTTTTAACCCATTTCTCATGATTCTTCATGCAAACTTGGTGATACTTCCAACATTCGTAACTTTCCAAGTGGGGTCAACGAGAATCCACAGGCCTTCAGTGAAAATAATTTTGAACATCAGTTTAAAGTGAACGTTTGGACAGGGATAATCAGGAAATAATTTGCATCGCTTGCAAAATCAGCTGGCAGTATTATTTGAAGACTTTTCTGCGTCAAAGAAAAAAAAATAGGGCACCCAAGGGATATGTATTGGTTGTAAAAGAACACCTAAAAACATTTTGCCTCGTAGATGAATTGGACGTCAAGAACCTATTTTGTGACCGCCTCGATCGCCGGATTTAAATTCACTAGATAGATAATCTCAAAGAAAACGTTTACTTACGGCCATCGTGACACTCGCGAAGAGCTACGAGAAAGGGCCTTAGTGTTAGCTGGTTAATCTCCGGCTGAGACCAAAAATAATTTTATATTCGGACATTACCTACCTCGATATTAACTGAGTAATATGGAGATTAACATCATTTCGAACGTTAACCTTTACATATAGGTATACCTTCAAAAATGATTTAACTATTCGATGATGAGTAGAGTTAATGACCAAGTATTCTGCCATTACCTATTTATTAGACGTATTCTATTCCTAATATGGTTTTTTAAATTGAATTCATTGTAGATGCTCGTGAGCTTATTAATATACTGGGCAATAGTTTCTCTCGTACAAGGTTTGCCTGGTGCTAAGGGGTACAGAAACTCCGGGGAAGTCGCTAAAATAGGGATTCAGCCTGAACCGACATGTGAAGAACTAAAGGCAATGTGGAGGTAAACAAGCATTTACTTGAGATTTACTATAACTGATATCATTATTTTCCGAAAAAAATACGCCTAATCTCAGAGACATCCGTCATTGGTCGATATACGGCCATGTTCATGTCATTGTTTTTTTTCCAAGGAATAATTTTTCATGTAAAAAAGTTGGCGAGAAAATCAAGCATCCTTCAACGCGTTGAATAAATCCTCATCTAAGATTAGATTTATTACACATTTTATAATCGCGTTAATTTTTCTCAATGAGCTGCTGTCTATATCGGTTACACAAACATTCGGTATACTACTCAATTGCTCCTAATTATAGTGCCATATGCCATATATCGATCCCGGTAGTTCCCGGTGGGACACCATATATAATGTTTGCGTAACTTAAAGAAAGCATTCATCAAGTGATTCTGTTACTTTTCTAGTTAAGAATTTTATACGGATTACAGGTGCTCAGTGCGTTACACTGACTACATACAACTACAACTCATAGCATATTTAGATTAAAATTAATAACGGCATCAATAATATTAGGTTTTCAAAAAGACAATCACGTGCTGCGGAACTGACAAATGAGCTTCCAATGTATCCGGACCCTTTTGCTGAAAATGTGTGGCAAAATTATTACGCTACATCCAGAAGTATTGCAGGGTGAGTATATCAACTGTGTATCGTCTATTGACTATCATTCCTGCCCTACTCGTATACAAGTTAGCAAATCAAGAGTTGTATTTTCCAGGAGAAGACCTGTTGCCTTTGGCAAGATTTCGTATGCTCCGTCAAAAAATAAAATAAACCCAGAATATCTAATGCCATATTTACAATATGGTCCCCAAACAGCACAACCAAGACGGCGACCAGCTACTTCATTTAGGTTGCCAGGTGGCGGAAATATTATCTCTAATTATCCTCCTCAAGCTGGCTCATTTGATCACCTGAAGGTAAGTTCCTCATTTTAAGAAGTGCAACCACCAGATAAGGATTCTCATAGGAACTCATTAAGACGGAAAGAGCTCGAGAACTGCAGCAACAAAGATTAGTTGAAGAAAATGCTGCCAGGGCAGCAGTCATGAAGGATACTGGACGACACCAACCTGGGTAAGCACTAAATAATTTGTCCATTTCGACGAATCTTTGTGATTATGATATTCTAGAATGCGAAATACTAGTTTTACTGATATCTACCATCAATTAATTAGATTGAGATTTTTCAATTTCAAATTAATTATAGGTAGGTATTTTGCAATACAATTCCATGGCAAGCGAAGTAGGTAAACATTTACGACAATTTATGACAACAATTCTGTTTAACAGCAAATAACTATTCGCATATAATTAAAGTATTGCAAATTCCTTTGATTTTCAGACGATACACCACTGATCATTTTTCATATCACATGGTCGAGCCTCAAGAAATTCTATTTTCATCTGATATGCCCGAGATTGAGGAAGACGAGCCCATCCCAGTCGAAGACCGAACTGGAATAATAACTTTTCCTGATATTTTGGCACCAAAAGAACGTATGAGCCCTGAAATGCCAATTTATAACAGGGATCACCCCCGTATGCGTTCTCATGGTCCAAACCTTTTTGATGCAAGCTTCTTTCCGGTAAGTAAACGGTTTTTGTTGATGATTAACCGATTTTAAATAATACCCTAAGTATTTTTAAAAATGGCCTAAACATTCTGAGAGAGAAAGTTGTTTAAACTGTTATTTGGTTTTCAGGAAGAATATGGTGGATATATGCTTTAAGTGCGTAAGTAAAGCCGCATCAGTATTATGGTAAAAGTACTATTGTTAATCAATTGGATGGTCCGCTATTACAAAATGTCAAATTAAAGGTAATTTCCAAATCATCTACTAGAGTAGCATCAGTCAATACCTACGCATTTTACAAGAAAAAAATCGAATTCACGTTTGTTGTTTGGTGTTACCTTAATTATAATCCCTAGTTAAGTGCTAAAGTCAATCACAAAGGATAACCTATCAATATGGAAGTATGTTAAAAACATTTGTTGAATGGCTGGACATTTGAGTTTATCAAATTATTCCATGTGTAATACGTTTCCTCGACAGATGATCGTTTCGTCCAACACAAAGGAAATATTCATGAATGGATTTCAGTAATTTTACACACAACTTTCAGTTCAAATAGTAGATACCAACTTCCATCAAATGGACGAGGCGGAAAAAATGAAATTATAGCAAAGCATTTAGCAGCAGAACAGCCTAGCATACATTTTTACTTGCTAGTACAAAATATTATTAAGAAACACTAAATGAAACACATAAACAATGAAAAATAGATTCGTCGTTTTTCTGGGTTGTTGAATATGACACTGCTAGTTAGTATATTTTTAATGGATGAAGCCCAATTTTTCAAATGTAACTCAAGGAAAATGTACGAAAAGGCTAAAATTCTTAAAAACATCTGATGCTATAATTCATTATGTTATATACATACTCTAAAAACATTTCTACATGAGCAGTAATTTTTAAGATAGATTTTAATATGCTTTGAGGCTGAATGTAATTTATAAACATATCCAAACACATCTTGTATCTCCCAATATCAATGTCTGCATATCTCCAAATATCATCCATCGATTAATACACATCACATTACATTTAACTAATTTATTACTAGTTGAAGATAAATACTTTCAATGTTACGAGATCGCAGATTAAATAACGTGAATTACAAAAGGCAGTATAGTTCCCATGTACTCGTATGTACTATATGTTGTTGAAACATAAGATTCTATAAGTAAAGGTTCCATTCTTCAGCATGAGAAGTGGGGTAAGCAGTCTTTTAATGTACACCGATTTAAATTAATGCACTCAGATTTGTTATGATAATATTTACCAAGCATATTTTCCGTATTATATTGCTCGTCGCTTCTTAAAGTCCACAAATTAGTTTTACGTTTGAAACGGTCTTAAATTTCTAATTTTATCTAGTAATTTGGCTGATTAAAGTTGCTTGTTTCTTATTATCGATGTTTAAGTATATCTATATCTATCTCTATTCAAATAAAGCCCATAATATGTAACAAGCTTGCCTCCTATCGTTTGTAAATCACATTTTTAGTCTATTTTATTATATCCTTTTTTAACTTAACTCAAATGCTCATGTTGTGTTTCGACGAATGCAATTAAAATGTTGAACTAGCCGTTAATTGATTCAAATTAGATTTCAATCTTCCAAGTAATAAGTACCTATCAGTGAAAAATTGGAAAAAATATTTGAGTGCCCCATTTTCGTTCACTTATTTAAAACTATTCTATAAAATATCCTTATTTGTGAAACATTAAAGTTCATTTGCTAGTTTACACACACTGTTATATACCTACCTACCTACATACATATTTATACAATAGAATAATTATTTGCTATTCACCTTTTCGTACCTTATTAGGTAAATTATGTATACACTAAAGCTGTCTTCGGTCTTAAATAGTTGAGAAATTGTTTGTCTGATTTCTTGTCTTGTCGTTATGTTATGTCAATGGGTAGCAATGAATTGAGCTGAAACCTTTCTTCTATAGCAGTTGCTGATTATAGCATTTAGATTATATTAACAGTGTTCCTACATTTTAGTCAGTACCTACACATTATTTCTAAAGGACAAAAAATAAACGCTAGATCTTTCTTCACGTGATGAACATACGAAGTCGGCGTAATCGCCTTCAGTTCGTCAAAGTTGTTATTACCACAGTATTTTTATATACAATACGAATCTGAAATTTTTATACTAGATGCAAATATCCATAGGAAAATTGCTACAACATTGCCTTTTGAAGCTTCATTCCTTACAAGTAGTTTACATGCATGTTTCACTTTAATTTGGTCCTATTCTATTATTTGGCTAAACCGATAAATAAGTCATATAGGTATACATATCTCATCTATAGTAATTTTGGTTTACGCTAACAATTACAAAGGAGTAAGCAAACATTGTTTCCGATTAAAATGACCACGATCACATTCCGTTAGTATTTTAAATACTAACTTTCAATTACTGAAAGACTTGCATTAATACACACTTTATTCGCAACAACCGTAGAAATACTTTTTAATATGAGAGCTAACGCAGACAATAATACATAGGTACGTAATGTATTTGATAGATAGTACCGAAATTATTTTATTCTGGTATTTATATTTGCAAACATGTCCTTGTTCATGAAACATTTTGCGTCTCTATAAATATGATCCTGATTAAGTAATTCTTGATTATATTCAGCAGAACTATAGTCTTGCACTACGTTGTTCCAAGGGAACTACTGACAATAAAACTGAAAAATATTTTGATACCAAAAAGCGTTTGACATGACAATATATATAAATATATATTTATTAAACATTCAACCTGAATGTCAATAATATAAGATGCTTAAATTGTAATTCTAATTTGTAAGACAAATATATTTGTATTTTATCTATATTACAAACAACTCCTTAACATTATTTGCTATTTAAGAATAATAAAATACATGGAGAACGGGATAGGCTCTGAGGAAATTGTAAAAGTTTAAATGACTTTCTTATATTTAAACCAGTGTGATGAGAAGACAATAAACATCATCTATTCAAGATTAGGTTTGTAGATTTAGCTTGAAGAGATTTACCTAGTAAATCTGCATTGTAAGTATTTATAAGTATAACATATGTTTCATTTTTTACATTTACTACAATTAAATTGCTGTGTTTTTCGTTTTTCAATTTGAATTTCAATTTCGCCTTTCAATCCAGAAATGTAAATTGAAATGCATTATTCGCTTATTGCAACACTTGCATCGAGACAGATGAGTTGCACCTTTTGCTATTTATGTCCTCCAAAAATATAATCAAATGTCAAAAGATGATTGCCCAATTTAATATTATCTAAAATAAAGACAATAATATTTATAGTCAATAATTGTGTACGATGCAAAAATGAAGCATTCTGTATTGCAGGGTTTCCCAAACTTTTTCCATAACGGAACACTGTTCACATTCAGAAATTTGAACGGAACACTTATGAAATGTCAAGCAAATGTTTTCACGGAACACTAGTTCAGGTGCTGCGGAACACAGTTTGGGAACCTCTGCTGTATTGTAACAGATAATAGAGCCGTAAGTTCCCAACCTTCCAGCTCCAGATACATATATTATTTATGTTGTTTTATATTCAAGCTAGACAACTAACATCTTCTATTGCTATTTATCTGTATAAGAGAACCGAACAAAAATGTCGGTAGTATGGAAGGGATATTTTGTAAAAATCTATTTTACAAGCACCATTTAACAGGGTAGTGTAAATGAAAGGAGGTGTCTGCTAATTTCAAGGTGCAGGTGCAGAGTAACTTCATGAAACAGATACTCGATCTTCGTGCTCAAATTTTAATGTTACATCATTTAAATTCTACTTCATCATTCAAATCACTATTGTTTCAATAATATATATAAAACGTTGAATGCAATACATGCAGTTAGTGATGTAGTTATCTAGTTTGGTATAAAGCTCCCATGCATAATATTGTAACCCCAATATCGCTCTTCAACTCATCGGTTCGGTCGAACTGTATTTATTTCTGTGATGGTGAAATTACTGACAATATCTGATCTACTATACAATTGGAAGAAGTGTTAAAAGTAATATTCAAAATCTTTATTCGAAATATCAAATAACACATTAGGTATTTTATATGTAAAATGTTTGTATATGTCTAACTTCTGTCTAAAAAATAAATTAGTTAGGAAAGCAAGAAATTATAGCTGTTTTTTTTTCAATATATATGTCCTTCACACGACTCTCTACCTTATATAAAATTCCCCACGTTCTTCATTCGAATATATTTTTTTATTAAGTTATCATTTCTATTATGAAAAACTTATCTAGTGGAGACTCCGTGACTGATGACTGGTGGTGAAAATGGTTAGATGAACGATCGACTTCGACTTTTTTGTAGGATCTACCTAAAATCGGTAGGTATAATCTTGTGTCACAATTCTTTTACTGAATAAATTGTTTGAATTACAAAATAAATTGTTATTCGGATTTTTTTTCACATTACTTTAATTTACAAATCTTATTTATGATCATTATTATTGAAAATGAACGGGCTACAACTAAAATTCGTAAAAGCCTCAAAAATATTTTTATTACAATAGAAAAAAAAACTTAAAAATACATACATATGTACAAAAGGACTTGTTCTAGAAAAGTGAGCAGACAAACGTATAAATGTAACTTTCTTTCTACATTTCTATAAATAAAAATTATCTGCTTTATAGGTATCTACATACTGTCATTAATATATACATATACATAGATATATTGACTATATATTGGCAAACAGCCGTACAAATTTACACTTTAAATTATGTCAAATCAAGCAATGAAAATGGCCAAAAAAGACATACATAGTGTTTCAAAATATTTAGCAAACTTTTTCTACAATGTGACGCATGTCTAATCAAGAATCCAGGAAATTCTGCGATACATCTCGGAATGTAGTCACTTTTTATATCACAGAATATAGTTATTGTAATGTAATGTTTCTGGTAGCGTGATGAAAAGAGAAAAATATTCGAGATGCCACACTGGATAGGCAGAGCCCGAATATACAATTTTGAATTTAGAAACGTACATATTTTTAGAATTAGATTATTATGAATTGCTTCATTTCATATATTATGTGTTAACTAAAAAACTAGCCAATATTGCTTGTTGAGGTTCACCTCGTTAAAGAAGTCATTTTCTTGACTTACATTTTATATACTTTTATGTTAACTACCTTGTTAATATTTTGAATAACTATGACATAGTGATGCTAGGCGCTTAAATGTTATATTAGCTAAAATCTACCTTTAATACTGTTTAAGATTGAATAAATTAATAAATAACTTACAGATCTATTAATACTTTATTATTTTAATTAAGTAATTAAATAAGAGCTCTAATGGTTATTGAATTTTAATGCAATTTGAAAACTCAATACAGGGTTGTAAATGAATCATAAACGTTGACCTACATGTTAGAATTTTACCCTACATACTGAAGACCTAAAACCTTAAAAATTATACAATTCGAAAACATTCTTCACATAAATAATTCTCCTTCTCTCAATCTACTATATATTTTCTTATCTTCATTTGATTTCATTTGAGAAGATTTACTTCAAGTGTATTTAATTGAACCAACCAAAATTATTCTCGACATAAGACACGCAAACAAAGCAGTTCACAATCACATTTGTTCCTAATATTCTATAACATATACTAGTTGGCATAATAACATCTGATATGGACATAAAACTATATATAATGGGAAATTTATCATATGTTCAAACTATTCGATTAGTCAGAAAGAATAAAACATTTACCTAATGTGAGTATCTATTCGAAGTGCACATGTGTACGAGTATTGTTGGTAGTATTTATTTCCAAACTTGTTAAAAGTATCACACTTTTGTGACAGTCAGAAGTCAGAAGATTTCTATATTTCACACCATTAAATAAGGAATAATTAATTTATATCACATTTCGCGGATTGCCCCTATAAGGTTGCTTATGTCGGTAATGTTAAAAGTTATACAAAAGTGTGTTTTTATATAATAGGATATCAGAATATAGCGACACGATTCATCATCGACATGTGATTTAGCAAAAAATAAAGAATGTCACTAGTTCTGATCTTAATTTTTCAAAAAATTCAATATTATTATCCTAGTTACACTCGAAAAGAAATTTCCTCAGAAGGAAAATTGGGTCTGATAAGAAATAATTTTATTTAGATTTATGAGTTTGCAAACTAAACTCGTAAATTTTGATTCAATTAACATTTACATTATTCTATAATACATTTTTGCAATAAATATGCTCGAAACAATAAGTGTACAATTAATGTTTGTATTGTCTCACTGGCCGCTATTTATGTTTGTAATGTTAGGACACCCTATATAAATAAATATACACAAGTCAATAAAAAAAAATTATTTGTCGACTGAAAAGAGAATTGGTGTAGGTATACATAAATTATTATAGGCAGAAAAAAAGCTGATACTCGAAAAATGCTCGTTTTTTAAATAGCAAATAATACTGTGGTAACTCGAATCTCGAAACATTTGTGTAGATGGGCGCATTGGCTACGCAAAACACAGAATAAATATATGTTACTATACTACTTACCATTATCAGTTCTAAGTACAAGTTTAACTTTACTACCGCTTTAGATAAATTAAAATTGGTAATTTTATAACTGATTTAAAAAGCAGCTTAATTTAGAGTATTAAATAGGTACCTTAAATAAACTACTTTATATGTAGCAGTCGACTCTTGATAAAGGTTTCTTCTTGGTTCTCAAACTGCAATAAAACAATAAAATGAGAAATGCAGATTAATTCAGGAACATGCACACTCTAAGACCCGCATATTTTGCCATGTCTCCATTTTTAATTTAGTAGAGTCTTCGCTATCCACTATTAGTATTTCCAAGTCGCCTAACTTGGAAGGAGCACAACAAGTTTTAGGCACTAATTCAGTTCTATGTTTAAGTAACTTGGCATTCCTTTTGTCAAGTTGGTGCATCAGTCCTTGAATTCGAGAATGATTCGTAGCTAAATTATAATTTGGAGGGCACAAGCCTTGACAGTAGCCTGCTTCAAAAGCCTTGGGCTCAATTATATTCTTCATCTCTCTAAATCCCAACTTTGTAAATGTCACATTCATTTCATGTCTACAACATTTTTTTTTGCCTTTCCCATTATGGTGCCTTGTACTACAATCCGTTATACCTTTACTTAAAGATCTCTTTATTCTTCTATGTGATTTGTGAATTAAAGCCGTTATTGCAGCTTCTTTAGGAATTAAATTATTATTACAACCTATACACATAATTTCTAAGCCTAAGTTTCTATGTCCACTTAACCATGAAGCAACTGCTGTTGTCACGTCTACTTCGCACCATTTAGTTAAGTTTCGCGAAAGATATAACGTCTCCTCCCCTAATAGTCGTGTTCTTCTGGCTCCCAATATTTGACTGACATGAATTTTGACAATATCAGAGTTGCTGTGTTGAGGAGGCACTAGTAAACGCAAAGCAGCGCTTTCGATAACGCCTGAAGACAATGGTACTGGAAATGCCATTTTCAGTGGTCGCCTCTTTGTGCCTTGTTTCAAAAAAGTATCTGAAACCAAAGAAATTGTGGTGCTTAACTAACACTCTCTTAATTGCCATTTAATTACATCTGCATGATACATTATTTGATCAAGCAGAGTATACAAATGCAGAATATACAAATGTAATTATTTTGTTTATTAGGACACAGAAGCCTATTTTCACTTTTTTCACATAAGCTAAATACCTAATAGATCTGATATAAATATCATCCTGACACATTTCGGTACCTATATTCCTATATTCTTCAAAATATTTTAGCACTGATTCACAAATCAATAAAATAGTTCAGATAATGTTTACACGATTCAAAAATTGTTTCAAATTGCTTTTTATCTTTTAAGCTTTGGTATTAAAAAACAAATATCCTCATACGTAAATGTGCCAAGAATTTATGTATTTCCTCCCAATTGGCTCCATTGGCGTTTTAATTTTTTTATCTCAATAAATGCCTTCGATTTTTTCTAGTTGCTACATTGTTAAATTTAGATACCTTAGATGAGTCATGACTTAGTTCTTGGAAAATATTCTCATAAATACCAGAATACATTACCGAAACACTATTGACTTTATAATCAAATTATTAATTGACACATACATACTTTAGTTTCTAAAACATTACATTTTCACTCCTGGTAAATAAGAGTATTAATGTACAGGGTGTTTTCTGCTAAGTTGACCCTCTCCCCATATCATTTATTTCAAAAAGTGTGAAAAGTGGTAAAAACGTTTCAACCGAATATTTTTAAACGTTAAAATACATACTTAAAAACTAAATTACTTGATCTTATTATACCACTAAGCATAGGCAGCACATTAAACATAAAACATTAGATATTTTAATTGTACAAAGATACATACATGTATATATAGATGTACCTCTATGTGCACAACACAACAACTTTGAAACTTTTCAAATAAAAGTGAAATTTTTCAGATTTTATGATCAAATTTAAATTTTCTCCAGTTAAAGTTAAAAAGAAATTTTTCCATAAAGGATAAAAGTAATTTGAGAGTATGCAAAATGAACATCGATACCTAACTACATTCCCGAATAATTTAAGCGGAACAGTAATTTGAAAAGAATGAATTGACTAACAAACTCAAAGAAAATGTTTATATTGATGTGGGACGCTTTGTATATTTACAATCTTGGGAATTCTGAACTAATAGATTATAAAAGTGTTATCGTTCTAATTCTGTATCAAATAAATGCGTTGGCGATTTTATTATTAGGAAAGAGAAAACCTACTATGCGACTATTTATAAATTTTATTCATATTTTTAGCTTACGCTGGTTTTACGATAGATAGAACACTACACTTTGTGTAGATTCTTTAACTCTCATTGGAAGTCTATTCGAAATAGGGTCAAAATCGAACGTCTCATGCACAAACACATATTTAATGCCGGAATTTGAAAAGGAAAAGAAAGCACTAATACTTCACTTTCTTGCAGCATTTAGATACACATTTATAACATCTCAAAAGGAATAATAGAAGCATTTTAGATTGTTCATTGCAATCTTTTTATGGGGGATGTTCATGCACTTTAAATATGATGAAGTATATTTAAACAATTATTACCATACTGTTTCCACTTTCGCATATGTTAAATGTATTCAAATTCTATTTTATATTCGGATATAATGCAATATTGTTTAATTATCGAGTATAAATTTGCTTAAAATGAAAAAAAGTGCGTCGAATATGAATTTAAGGATAGTTTAAGAAGCAGTTAAAAAGGTATGGTACTTACTCGGTGGTTGAGTAATAAATGAGACTTTGACTAGGAAAATTTGTATTGGTAAATTGGTACAGATGACATAATATATTAGACAAATAGCTTCAAATTCCCCACAAGACTGGTATATCCGGATCTTCAATCACCACAGAGATATTATCGAGATCACGGCCATTTTTTTTCAACATCAAAGTGCTACAATACGGATATCGGTCTGAGCGTAAAGAAATTTTAAGCAAACCGGAATTTTACACTATTTTTAGGTGAGTGATACATATTCATTTTTTACTCGCTGACTGAATTAACACTTGTTGTACTTTGCCATTTTATTTAAAGACAGGGTTGCTGGCTCAGAATTGAACGTCGTTAAAAGTAAAAGAATAATTGATTCAAATTGGATTTAACTTCTAATTAAAATTAATGTTTGCTATATTGTTAATACTCACTCACTCAGTGATCGTTTAATGAAATTAACTTTCGAAAGACGAAACTGTCTAAACTTGAACTTAATTTTCCAACTTTCCAACCGATTTAATGACCAATATGAATACATTTTCAATGTTACCTAAGAATGGTTAAATTTACATTATTAACCACTAAAATTGAGATATACAAAATTTGACAGATGCGGAAGGTATCCGGTAAATCATTTCTTCTGCAAGCTGATGGTTCAATTAATATTTACAAGCACAGGTGTTATATGTGATCATACTTAATTTAAAATAAATTATTTCATAATGTCAATCAATAAAGTGAATCAAATATCGAAGATGTGGCTTTGCCTTTGGGCGAAATGTGTCATTTTCACTCTAGGGATAAGCCAATACAGTGAGTTAGTAATTATTTGTTAAAATTACTTGGAATACTGGACTGTTTCATGCAAATGATAAGTAACAAAAAGGTTAATTTTGTTAGACGTGTGACCTAAGCAAAGTCAATATAGTAAAGAACCAGTGCCGTAGCAAGCTTAACTCGCGCTCGGGGCACAATACGCGGGGCACAAAGCGCACCCCCCCCCACCCTCATTCGAATTAATTCGACCTAGACATTTTTTGTTTTGCCGACCATTTGGCGCCCCTTTGTGCCCAGGGCATGATGCCCCCCCTTGCCCACTCCTTGCTACGCCGCTGTAAAGAACCAACGTTAAGTTTATTCTATACTTATGAGAATACGTATCGGTAACTGAATTGATTTATTTAGCTGAATTGCCGCAATGGAATCTAAGGTCCCAATCATCAACTTACCCAATTTATACACACGCAAATCTGGAACAGGCTCAAAAGTGTCGTTCTTTTTACTTAGATATTTTTTGACCATGGTGGTATATTCTTCCAGACTTATGTTAATCTGGAATTGAAAATAATCATTAATCTTACATATAAGTATACATCTTCTTTCGTGAGTGAAAAAACGCATTTCAAGTCCTCTCCTTCAAAATAGTTTCATATGAATTGAACGCATATATTCCGACGCAAGTTCAGTGAATGAGAAATGCCAGTATACAACAAAGGAATCTGGTTGGAATCAATCTATTTTTCATGTTACAATATGAATTAAAATTAAAAGTTTGTTTGGATATGAGAACTGCGGCATTGCTCAAGCCGGTGATCCCGTTTCTATTTTCGTTCTTCAACTACCATGTCAAATCGGACTTATTGATAATCTATTTAAAGTAATTTTAACCATTCCTTAATGATTGGCTAATGCATGTAAATATCCAATACATATAACAATATGAATATGTTAATTGAGCGTTCGTACCTCTGCACAGAAAATATCAACTGAATTTTATTACGTACTTACAGTAAGTATATTACAAATAATAACAAAAGTAATATATAATTTTTTTTTCTATTGGCTGATAAAGGTCTTCTGTGATTTGGGCTTCTACACACTTTTGTGATTTGGGCTAGTGATTTGGGCAGCGTTCGGCGCTACGGGGCTCAGCATTTGGACATGGTAGTAATAATTGAGGCAAAACAGTACAACTAATGTGAATGTGCATAATTCTACGTCACTAGATAAATCGGGATTTAGAGGAAATTATTTAAGTACTGCAAAAAATTAATTCATGTTTATTGTTCCAACGCGTGTAGGTACTGAGTCGTACTGACATATTATCTGGGTAATTCCGCTGGTATTGATTGGGTGTAACTTTTACGTATAATACTAAAATTAAGAATTAAGTAAATTCACTATGAATAATTTAGCAAAGGTTAATACAGTCGATAAGTTGCTTAATTGAAATCTGATACTTATAACTCGTTTTTCACAGTGGCGTAGACATTTGAAATTGTTATGTATTAAACTAAATTTGTTAAATTATATCCAAGATTTTCCCATTACATATCAAGTGTTGTCAGTGCATAGTTTTTCATATATTTTTGTAATTTTTAACGAACAGTCTTTAACTTTTAATTTTACTTTGACAATGACATTGTTTCAAGCGTAACATGGGTACTTGATGCTTTAATCTTTCTATCCTTGCTAATGTCCTACTTTGATTAAATCGTTTCAGCGCGTATTGATATAAATCGAAAAGAAACATCGCTTATAAACAGAAGTAAAACAATATAATGTCACTTTTGTTGAGCATTCAGTAAATTTAAAATCTAAACATTTATAGATATTAAAATTCTGTACCTATTCTACTCCCCTACTCTCTCTGTTAATAAACATGACATATAAATAATCTTGCGATCAGCTAGAATACATTTAGTATCATTATCAAATTAGCAAAGATAATTACAGGGGTGTTTTACACGTTGCGTTGATGCTCAGCCAGTCGTATCTTGGAATTCCCTAAGACAGGAAATTCCGTCTAAGACGGTTAGAATTAACAAAGAAAGGAAATCTCATTCCTAACAAGATATGGTCATAATATTACAACTTTATATAAACTGGTTATAATATTATAAACATGTAAACATAAATAGAACAGTTGCTCGCAACGGCCAGACAGCTAAACAGCAATCGAACCGTTGCAAATTGTTCTCCAAGAAAAGGGGTAGTAGCAGTAGGTGAGTTGGAACAAATATATTGAATATATATATTGAATATTTGAAAATACCTACTATAAATTAATTGTTAGTTTGTTTTTGTTGCATAATACAATCATTTATAAATGTACTTCATTATCATCCCATAATCAGAATTTGAGAAAACAAATAAGCAATTAGTAAATTGCTTCTAATAAGTAAATATAAAAGTTAATATACGCCTGTATTATGGTATTTAAATAGTTTGGAAGAAAATAATTCAAGAAATTGACATTCAAATTTTGAGCGGACTGAGTGGACTACTATATAAACACTAAATAAGCTTTGCATCGCATTCGCTGATAGCTGATATGAGATGATATCGCTTTGGTTAGACTAAAAGGGTTCTTGCTACAAAAGGTACCTTAGCATTATCAGGAAGAACAAGTCCGAGGTCGGTCAGCAATGTATTAGTTGGGGTAGCAGCGCTCACACTAGTATACACTATCACAAAAAATGTCCATGCTGCTTTTTTGGACCCAAAATAGTAGCCCATAGCCGGGGGAGGTGGTAGCCGTCATTGACTCTTAAATATTTGAGAATGCACATGCACTTGTTCAGTAGCGGCAATACCTACTCTGCTAACCAACGCGACGCAACTTTTCATCCAAAACACGCGCTCCAACTTTTATATTCCGCGATTGGGAAGGGGGATTGGGTGGCCGTACGCCGACTTTCCGCTCTTGCACTATTATTGCATCCATTATCAGTGACCATTTTCCGATGTGTTCTAAAATGCTCTGTTTTAGGACATCGGAAAATGGTCACCCCTACCATGTTTTCCTTATAACTCCGCTCCAGTCCGCCCCGCTTTGTCGAGAAGAACCCTCACATATGTACAACTTCCTTTTCATAAGAAATAGTTAAGATTTAAGTACAAAGGTGCAAAATTTTTATGCTTTTCAACTGAGATATTGGCAGCATTAGTTGCGCTTAAGCGCTTAAAGTATGCAATATTGCCGATAATGACGTTGCGACTTTTTCCCAATTTCGACCCCTTCGTCCCACTTATGTTCGATATAAAGTTAGACTCCTATATTTATCAACGGTTGGAAAACGAAAGGAAATTCGTTGCCGCTTAAATCGTTATTCATAATTGATATCCTGCATGAATCACACCAGATAGTTTCGAAAAATGTAATTCCCTCTTCCTAAAAGTCTATAGATATAGGAAACATTATTAAGCCTTATTTTTCTTCCCCCCAAACATGTAGCTTTCTATATCAAACTTCTTTGGAGTTGGGTCACTTTGGTTCACCATCTAAAACAGATACCAGTTATATATTAGGTATTGTTAAACTAAGCGCTGATATGAAAAACTAAAAAACATAATATAAACATTTATATGTGTATAGGTACATAGTTCTATATACGTATGACTTCTATTCAATAGCTAGACTATTCAAAAATTAATAAGATTCTCAACACTTATTTTCATTATTCTTATGTATGTTAACTAACACATTTTATTTGATAGAAAATCTCGTAATCGAATACGGAAAACACATCTTGAATTACCCGCAATTAAGCACACATTATTTGTAATCGCTTTAACAAAAATGTTTGTCATGTAATAAATGAAAACAATATAGAATAATATACATTCAGGAAAGTACCTACTCAGCAAGAGCCAGATTGCTGTGCCAAAATATACATTTGTTTGAATCTAGCAAATGTATCTTGTAAATGATAGGTAGGATAGGTACTGCCAAACATCCACTAGGAACACAAATGGACAACACCGCTTGACAAGCATATATACGAGTACTTTAATTACAAACGAAAAACACAGATTTTTATAGATTTTGTGGGCTTTAACTAACATAACATAACATTACCGATATACTCCGAGGTTTTTGAAGCTTGAAAGCTGACGGATTCACGAAATCATTCTAATGCTGTAGAATGATTAAAGATCTTACTTCTTAAGATTAAATCTACTGTTAGTTATTACGTGAACGTATTAAGTAAAAGTAACATTCGTGTTTGATGACGTCACAATCTATCTACTCGGAATTTCCAACATTTAAGCAGGGTAAGCGTTTGCTTTATTCTCTATCCGGTCATACTTACATATATTTGTATCCCTTCTCAGTTCATAAATTATCGCATTTTATGATTTTTTTAGAATATCTAAATGCTGACTAATCCGCGTTGCGTATATAAGTAAGGAAAACTCGTCAATTTAGAAAGTACACACATCTTTTTCGAATATCTACGTCATGCTTCAAAATCGTGTGATGATAATTTGTGAGACTTACGGTTTATTTAGCAGAGACGTCGATCTAAAACACTAGGTAACCGTTTTTTATTAATTGTGCAAAGGTGTATAACCAACATACCTACCAAATGCTGAACTGTTATATGATTCCCATATTACTAATATATGGAATCCAGCAGAAAATTCATATGGGTTTGAATTTGAACACTTTTATGCTGAAAAATCATTTTATCGCCAAGGTACTTCTAATACATATTACATACAACTATATACAACTAGAAAATCTTGAAATTTATTAAACGAAATTTATCTTGAAATTGCTTAGACTCAAATATGTATGTTTTCAATAAATCACTTAATAAGCTCAAAAATATTTGAAAAAAATTAAATGTTTCAGTAAGAGCACCTAGTTGTCAAACGGGTTTATAATAGCAACTTATAGACACCATTATAATAATTTTGCCCTAGTATTCGCTCCAAATTCGCAGAAATATTGCCGTAAATTATTTTATTGATTACTTTTCTTTTCTTTGAGCTAAATTCACTTTATTATTCACCAGAGCTACACATTTTCTGGAATGTATGCGCCATATTTATTCCTAGGTACACGGTTAATAAAATAATAGAGCCTCTGACTCATTCGGGTCTAACAATATTTGTAAGCAATTTTCTCGGAAGTCTTTTAGGGTTTACGTTTCTCCCAATGCTTGGCTACCTAATAGATGGTATTTTTATTCCTAGGATGACTAATTTCATGACAATATTCAAACTGCCGCTTTTATAGTAAAACTTAAATGCAACCAATTTAAAAGATGCATTTTATCATTCCGTATAAAAAAAGGCTTTATTTGAAATGAAATTCGCTTTACGACATAACCATAGGCTGTGGTTCTACTTGAACACTTACAGCTAAGTTCAATTTCTTTTTGAAGACGAACAATGAGGAATAAAATAAGGTTACGTTATCGCATAGAGGTACTTACTTTATTATATTCATTCATTCAGTGATTATATTTAAATTTAGGGGCTGTGCACAAGGGGGGATCCAGGAGGGGTTTATGACCCCCCTTGTGCTGGGTCTATATAGATTAACGGTATTTTTTCTAATTTCATAGACAACAAAAGACTGAACTTCTACTATATAACCCCCCCCTGGCTTGAAATCTGGATCCGCCGCTAGCTATGATAGATAATGCTTTATGGACCTGCAAACGCACAAAATCAGCACATATCGACAGTCCCTGAACAACGTTCACAGGCTGGCGTCTCTGGGAATAACTGGGGCTGGAGCCGTTGCATTTATCCATTGAAGCTGAGGCCCTAAGAAGCGCTTACCGTATGGGTGACGATGTCCTCAGGAAAGCGACAGATTTGGGATACAGTGCGATCTTCAGAAAATTGAATACAGTCGAACCCATGGGACCAAAACTCTAAGCATCTCGGTACCTCTTAGAACATATGTTCTAAATGAGGGACGAGATGGTGGAGAGACTCCATCAGCCATCACAGGGGACTCCATATGGTACACGGAGGGCGTCGGGCACAGGCGCTGGTATAGTCGAAAGAGGAAGAACTGGGGAAAGGATCACCTTAAACCTGGGTAGAACTACGACAGCTTTCCAAGCAAGCATCCTAGCAATAACAAATTGCGCCCGGAAAATGAAGGAAAGAGCCTACACACGTAAGCACATTACCATCGTAACCGGAGATGAAGCCACAATAAAGGCATTAGAATCGTACACAATCATGTCACAATGTGTGCTAGATTGTGTAAAAGAACTTACAACCTTGGCCGGGAGCTCAAACAGAGTAAGACTCACTTGGGCAACTGGTACGAACAGGAACAAAGGAAACGAGATTGCTGCGGAACTTGCTTGGCATACGTTCGCTGCCCATTCAAACCGCAGAACAGATAAGGGCCGAGACTTCAAGAATTTTACCACGCTCAAAGCCTCCGAAGAGCAACCTCACTCTCAGTGAAAGAAAAGCCCTGAAAACGCTGAATGAGGATAAGGAGATTGTCGTGTTGCCAGCTGATAAGGGCAATGCAACTGTGGTCATGTCTTCACTGAACTACGAAGACAAAATTAAAGAACTTTTGACCCCGTCAACGTACAA